GTAATTCATGCTTTCATCAAGTTTATTTATAGTCTAATAAAGATATGAAGTATAAACATAATGACTATTCTCCTTTCTCTCTCTCTGTCTCTCTGTCTGTCTCTAGCTCTCTCCCCTTCTCTCTCCTTTTCATTTTCCCCCATATATGTATTATGTATTTCATACACATATATATAGATATGTATATATATAAATATATTTATAAATACACATATATGGATATGCATATGAGCGATTAATCTCGTTCACTGGCATAGCCTATTATTTATCTTTATTCAGATGACTAGAAATCTATATATCTGGCCCCAATCTTATCTCTGAATTATCCACTTCCTGCTGGTCTTATCCTCCTAGATGTACCATCAACATATGAAAATGGAACTTATTATCTCCTCCCTATACTTTTGCCTCTTCCAAATTTCCTTATTTTCATTGATAGCATCAACTTCTTAGTCACTATTTTTTGTAACCCTGATGTAATACTTGACTCTACCCACACCATGCCCATATCTTACTGGTTGCCAAGGCCTTCTGACCCTACCTCAAAAACATTGATCTTTCTTTCCACTCATGCAGCCAACCCTAGTTCATCATCTTTCACTTAGACTACTCTCCTGGCCTTCTAATTGACAGCTTCCACACAGCTACCAAAATCTTCGGTACCTCCTTATTGTTTCTAGCACAAAATACGAGCTTCTCAGCCTGGCATTTAGGGCCCTTCATAATCGGGCTACAACTTACCTTTCAAAACTTATTTAGCATTATTTTTCTTTAGACACTCTACATATCAAACATAATATTCCTTCTTCTATACAAATTATATTCCATCCCACCCCCAGTGGAGAATACATTCCCTCCTTATCTCTATCTCTCAGAATCTTAATCTTTCAGGGTTCAGTTCTAGTGCAGCCTCTTCCATGAGCCTTTCTCTGATTCCTCCCTTGTCCACAAACACAAATACACAAACAGTTGTTAGTACTTTTCCAAAGAGGACTGTTGACACTGGGGACAACTTCTGACTAGGATCACATTGCCCACAGAGCACTGCAGTGTTCAGGGAAAGATTGTGCACTATAGCAAGGGGAGGCCCCATACTGAGGCATGGCATGTAGGATGCAAGAACAGGTGCCAACTAGTAGCTTTTTTGGCAACTACCCAGCCCTGTGTTACAAATACAGAGTGAAACTGAGGAGATCTGCACCCAGGGGTGGCATTCTGAAGTAGGGAGCAGCCACAGACCGTAGGCTATATAACAATAGAGGAGTGTGACAGTGAAATCTGAAATAACAGAAGAACCAAAGGTTTGAGCTTCTGAGCATATCAATTTATTAAACAATGCATGCCAATTGCACAAAAAGTCAGGACAGAGCATCCTCAAGTTGGCACTGGACCCCAAATACGGGGATAGACAGATTTTAGTGCATTAAAGGAAAACAATTGACGGGAAATAAACCTAGGTACACATTTGGGTAATCTGATTTCTAATTGGAGGAAAGATTAGGAGCTTTCCAAGTTGAGAGGGAAAGGGCAAACAAAAAATGCAGTTCCCTGAAATCAGAAAAATAGGTATCCCACTCCGCACTCCAAGTGTTTGTATTTAATCAAACAAGGAAACAGTAACTGATTGGTCAATATGGGGTAAGTTTTCAGACAAGACATATGGGTTGCTTGAGATATTATTGTAAGAAAACTCCTTGTATCAATCTTCAAACCTGACTGGATTTCTGGTCAGCATAATCTGACTTTTGTCTCTAAGCAACAGATAGAGGTAGTCCATCTTCCTAGCCATTCAGGGTGAGATTCAAACAATGCAGTAAAGTTTTCTCACAATTGCTATAATTGAATAAAGTTTTCTCATAAGCCAAAAACTGGACGAGATCTTTAATTGAGTAGAAAGGGAACTGAGCTAGATCCAGAATTGAGTCAAAAGATGGAGTCAATTTAGTTCATATAATTCCCACAGTTCTCTCAGGAACAGATTCAAATGCAAACAGTAGCTGTGTGGTTCAGACTCCAGTAGCTAGTGAGGCCTCAGTCCCAGCTTTTATCCCAGTCTAAAGGCTTCAGAGGAATAAACAAGGCAGGAATCACAGTCTGAAGAAGAGCCTGCAGTTCTGTCACTCTGAACGAACAGAACTCCCCAGCTAGCTAAGAGTGGCAGAGTCCAGCAGCAGTCTCCCTGATGCTCAAAACTGGTCAGGAACTAGCAGAGCTTAAACTAAGGAAGCAGCAATTAGACTTTGCCCTGGATCAAACCACTTTGGGAGTTCTAAAAACTTGTAGGTTCGTAGCCTTTCCCTGAGATTCTGGAATGAAACAATACTCAATACTCCAAGAAAGCAGCAGTAGGACCAGTCTAGACCTTTAGAAGTTCACAGACTCTAGCCCTGACATCAAGTTTGAAATCAGCAAGCAAACTGGAAGAATGAGCAAACACCAAAGGAATCCCATCATAAAAAGCTATTATGGTGTCCAGGACAGTCAAATCACAAACTCAGAAGAAGAGAAAGACTCTAAAATATCTTCAAACAAAGCAAATCACTTAACCTTGATGAAAAGACCAAAAGTGTGTCGAAACTTTGAATTTCAAATGCAAGAGTTAAGAGAAACATAAATTGTAAACATGAATGAGCATGATAAGGGATTTAAAAAGTATAAACACTACTTACATTAAAATATGAGAACCCTATCACCATCAGGAGTCAAAAAGGAAATTTAATTTGACAAGGCTTGGGTGTGGTTCTGTTATGTCTTTATGATTTTAAAAGAAGAATGGAAAGAAAAGGGAATTGGAACAAAGTAGATACTCAGGGAAGGAAAAAGATTGGGGGAGATTATCTCACACAGTAAGAGTATAGACAAGGAGGAAGGGATGGGGGAAGCAGCTAACACTTGAATCTCTCATCTGAAGAGGTAAGCGTGGGCGTGCCTACGCTTACCCACACAGAGACACACATACAACACACACAGAGTTGGCTAGAGAAATACATTTCATTCAACAGAGAAATAGAAGGGAAAGGTGAGAAAGAGGAAAGAAGAATTAAATGGAGAGTAGATTAAAGGAAAGATTAGTCCTAAGCAAAACACACTCTCAATTAAAAATATACAAAAATATAAGCTCTTTTTGAGATAGCAAAGAATGGGAATCCGAAGAAGTGCCTATGAAGTGGGTAATGGCTTTGAACATGAACAATTTATGGTATATAAATGTGATAAGATGTTACTGTGATGTAAGAAATGATGAAAGGTATGGTTTCAGACAAACCTGGGAAGACTTGTGTAAACTGATATAGAGTGAAGTGAACAGAACTAGGTGAGCAATACAGTAAAGTCAAATAACTTTCAAAGATTTAGGAACTCTGATCAGAATAATAACCAACCACAATTTTAGAGGATCAGTGATGAAACCTACCTCCTGATAGAGACTTTAAGACTCAGTGCAGAGTGAGACCAAAAAAAAATTTTTTAATACGGCCAGTGGGAAAATTTGTTTGACAAGAGTATACATGTTTCTGGAGGGCGGTGGGATGGAGATATTTTTCTTTTGTTCTAAATTGTGGGCAGGAGTCAGAATGGCAGAGTGAAAAGGCAGATTTTTGCTAAATGAAAAAAACATAATCTTTAAAGAGCAAACTATATATGATAGAGGCCCACAGTTTCATGTATAATCCTCTTTTTCTGTTTAACTATGTATATGAAAATGCTCATTTTATCTGGTGTTTGTTAAGTTCAGAATAAAAATAAAAAATTTTACCTGTCTGTCCTAGCTGAAAGTGGCTTACTCACCTAAGTAAAGCTGAGCAATTGTGTAAGATACAACAACAATGGTACATGAGCTAGAAGTGGGGAACCTGTGGCTTCGAGGCCACATGTGGCCTTCTAGGTCCTCAAGTGTGACCTTTTGATCGAGTCCAAGTTTTACAGAACAAATCCTGTTATTAAGGGGATTCGTTCTGTGCAGTTTGGATTCAGCCAAAGGGCTAGTAATTCCCTAGAACTGTGGCACCTTTTTTGCTTACATTTCAATAAAAAAAAACCATTGATTTCAGATAATATTCACTTTTCATAACATATGATATATAATACTGTAATGCTGTACAGCAAATAAAATTCTTAAAGCTAAAACATTTTATAACCTGAATCTTACCTTCCACTGTGTCAGTTCACTAGCATTATAAGAGCATTGTACTATATATTATACTGCTGCAAAACTCTCTGCTTTGACTGCCCTCTGAAAACCAAGGGGAAGGTTGCTGGGACTTTAGTCGCTGCTGTCGGAAGACTCTCAGACTGGCAAAGTCTCAATATCACTTCTGACGCTCTTGTCCTTCATAGCTGATGGATGGCACTGGAGATCATGAAGAACCTACCAGCTTGAAATATACAACAGCTACATCTGCTTTGTGAGCAGTTTGAGATCCTTGAGGCTACGCCAGTTGATAATGGTTGCAGATATTCTGGCACCAAGTTTATCCAACACCTTTATTTTCTCACGAAGCTGCATCACTGACTTTGCACACTTGGGCTTAGAACCCAGAGGACTTACACTATGCTTTGGAGGCCTAATTTCAACACAAAACTTGAGTTTTAAAGACAAAGAATTAAAATATGCAACAAATTCACAGGAGGTCTTTATAACAGGGTGAACAAGACCAGCGAAGCATCTAATAAGATACCAGCTGTTTCACAAACTTGAAGGCATCCTGCCTTTCATTTTTTTCTCTACTGTATAACCACAATAGGAGAATGCTTGGAAGTCAATAAAGTTAAATTCATGAATGTTAAGGATTGACTCTATGTGCCATTTGGTAAATAATGTATATTTGTTCATGACTTAGGATGATCAACTAGTTAATACATAGTTTTAACCTCCCACAAATATGTAGAAGTATATAATTCCTATATGAACCTCCTATAATTATGTATATTGTATGCATATACGTATACATACTGTATTGTGTTATATATTTTGTTAGTAATTAGCTAATCTGTTTACATAGGATTCAAGGAAATCTCACCTGAAAAACTGCAGAACTGGAACACGGTTTTAACTTCTCAAATTAATATCATTACCCAAAGAAGGGATGCTACGGCTCATCGCATAATGTCAGCAAGGCTTCATAAGATTAAGGAACTGAAAAATGAATTAGCTGATATTCATCATAAACTAGAAGCAACTGTCTTAGAAAACCAACTGTTGAAACGACTTCAGTTCAGGCACTTGAAAGCAATAGGAAAATATGAAAATTCACAAAATAATTTACCTCAGCTTATGGCTAAACATCAAAGTGAAGTAAAAAATCTAAGGCAACTTCTTAGAAAATCTCAAGAGAAAGAAAGAAATGTGTCCAGGAAACTTAGAGACACTGACAGTGAATTGTTAAAAACCAAAGATTCCTTGCTAACATTGCAGAAACTTTCTGAAGACAAAAATCTTGCAGAGAGAGAAGAACTTACACAAAAATTATCTGCCCTTACCACAAAAATGGAGGCAAATGACAAAACAATACAGGTTGGTTTTTAAATTATGATTTAAAATTTTTTTGTATAACAATGGCTATGATTTTTAATCTGTGTAAAATATCTTTTACATATTAGTAGTACTTGGCATTTTATAATATATGAGATAGTGTGGCATAGTGAAACCGTATCTGTAGCTTTGCTGATAAGTAAAGCCCATAAAGTCCAAATTTCAAGTCCAGGTAGTTTCAAAAAGTGAAAGAAGAGTTATATTGAAGCCAGTATAGCGATTAAAGAGAGAAAAAGGGATACTAATGCTAATGTTTAAATCATATGGCGAGAAGGAACAATGAATGATATTCATTTGTATGCAAGTTGTTCTGAAGCAGTAGTATGGAACTTATTTTCTATCTAGAACCACTGAACAATCTAAAAAAATCAAGTAATGGTTACACAAGTAAAACAACAAAATAAAACAATTTAATTGGGGGAGGGGCAATGATGAAAATATAAGACATTTTTAAATTAATAGAGCACATAAATCTCTATCCAATAATTAAATCACACATTAGCATATTTTACATATAGCTAAGAGCATCTAAGAGAGAAAGAGGGGAAAAGATATAATGGAAAGAGAAAAGGGCTGAGTTGGGGGAAGGTGAAAGACAAAGATAAACTACTTAGCATATGTCTCCAGACCACAAAATACACATCCTTGCCACTGCTACTGCCAACAAAAAATTGCTTTAAATTCCTCCCCCCTCTATAAGGTTTTATGAAAACAAATATAATGTATCTAAGTTGAGAGGGGAAATAATTAACGGGGGGAAGGGGAGAGAATCTTTGCAAGTTTCTGTAATAAAAGTCTCATTGCCAACTGTATTAAGGAAGTGATTCAAATTAATAATTGATAAGACTAAGAACTATACCCCTAAATGATAAATGATTTAAGAATTTGAACAAGTGATTCTCAGAGGAAGAAATCTAGCCTTACTAAAGGCATATGAAATTTTGCATCTCTCTAAGCTTTGCTTACAATTTATTTTTGATGGAATTAAATGCTGCCTTCTTAGAGATGTACAAACTGTCCTACTAGTAAACCCTGTGGTGTTCGCATTTAGCAGTTTCTGAATTTCCCCACCATTTTCATCAAACCAGTATTGATGGTTGTGAGTGTTCTGGCCCAGATAAATAAACGCAGTGCTATACACCAAATCTCTGAAAGGTGCTCACTCCTCTTCTGCTCCATTGTTGCCAACTGTGTGTTGGCTTAACTTTCCCTCCAAGTCAGCAGCAAACTGTTCACATTTGGAGAAGCACTCTAATCTGTTGACATTCAGTCTTCTTGTCTTGCATTGGGCCACCCTTTTTGTTGAATGTGAATGTTTAGCTTAGAGAGGATACATCTATGATCAGTCCAGCATGTTGTGCCACACATTGCGTTTGTCACTCCCACATCCTGTCTATCTTTTCACTTTAGAATGATCTTGTTTATTAAATGCCAATGTTTGATGTGAAGGTGCATCCACAAAGTTTTACTGCACAGTGTTGGCGATGAGAAGGTCATGAGACACATAAATCTTCAGTAGTATGTAACCATTCCTGTTGCTGTTTCCAATTCTCTTTCTCCCAAGGACTATCTGCTATATGTGATACTCTGTGAATACTCTGGCATTAAAGTCACCAAAATTACAAGCTTGTCTTCTTTCAGCACGTTGATGAGGAGGGTCTCCAAGCCTTCATAAAATTTTTCTTAGACGTCATGAGGCTTTGTCACAGTGGAAGCATATGCACTAATGATGATGGTATGGCACTTTCCTGCAAGTGGCAATTACATTTTCATGAGCTTTTCACTCCTTTTGGGAGGCATACAAGCTTATTGACTAGATTAGATTTAATTGCGAAACTTATGCCAGCTTCACAGTGCTCCCCATCATTGTGGCCACTCCAAAAAATATGTATCCAGCTCTGACTTCAGTAAGCTGGCCTTCGTTTGCCAGCCTTGTTTCACTCGGGGCTGCTATTTGGATACGATACCTGCTGAGTTGTCTCTCACAAGAAGAGCTGTTCATTCCTCTTTCAGGTCTATTGAATTTCATGTTCTCCATAAACATGCACGCATTTCATGTACTAATGGTGAATGGAATCATCTTTGCAAAAGTTTTTGTATTTTTTTAATGTTTTGACCACTGAATAGGATCCTCACCTGCTGTGGTAAGCAAGACAGTGTTAGGTTAGGTGAAGCAGATAATTTTTTAGGGTATCTTTTCTACCCCCTTCCCCATGCAAGGAGGTGAGCAGTGCAGTCCTTCAAAAAGCTGCTCAGACACCCAGAAGGCTGCATCTCAACTAATTATTCCTATATCATTCTGAAAAATTCAAGGACTTTAATACAGATGACTGATTTAATACAGACATACAAGATCTTGGTATAAATCTTATTTGTAAACCTGCCTCAGGAAGATCATGAATCATTATCATCCCTAGGAAAGAATTTGTGTGTTGACTTATTTTGGGAACAGGATCCCCCTCCCCAATTACAAATACTCCTTGAATGAGGAGGAAACTTGGAAAAAAAATTTTTGACTGTGTATAGTACAGAAATGCTTTATGTGATGATTTGTGGTTATGATAATTTTGAAATTATATTTGGAATAGTTAGTGCTAAAGTTACATCTTGAACCAACTTACTCTTAACAGACTCCAGTCATAGGAATATATTTTTGCTTTTTAAAGCAAAAATTACTGTAAACAAGCAGATGGCAAACCCAAGTACTCATCTATATAGTTGTTTAGGGTATGGAATTGACTATAATCTCAGAATGAAAACAATAAGATGTGCTAAAGTATCACAGCAACAAGACTCATCATAAAAAATAAAAATCACAGCATAACTACATTGATCAGATTGCTATGAAAGGGAAAAGCAGGTTAGGACCACTAATGCACCGGCAGTACTGGTCCTCCAGTCCCTCCAGGCCCAAGGACACAGAATGACTCAACCCATGTATCCTCAGTTCCATTTGATCTCAAGCAGTGATAGTAGAAAGTGTATGAATGGATACCACAGTCAGGTTCAGAATTGACCAGGATTTCTTGTACAGGAAACTGAGTCAAGAGAGGCTTACTTTAGGCTTCCCAAAGTTATCTTCCCAACCATTTTCCCAGGGGCAGATATCCACTGGCTGTCAATCACAAATCTCATTTTCATTGAGCTGCTTGCATTTTTCTTAAAGTAGTAAAACATTGGCTCAAAGACACAACAAATCTGAAGACAAAAGTCAAAAAGAAAATTCAGAGTCCCAAAAGGTTTCACCTCAAACAGCCAAGTCTCACTAATCACAGTAAGACTAGACATAATTGTTTTCAATACTCTCAAATTGTTGCAATAAATAAGTTAGCAAATAAAAAGTTATCAGACCTTCCAAAAAAAATCACACAAAAGGCTGTATTTAACATTCTTTTCTTCTAGTATTTCCTTTTCCCAAATATGTCTTAAAATTCAACCTGAAGTAAAAAGCAGTGATTAGATTTTAGCAAAGCAATTTTATTATATAAATTCACATAGTGAATATATTATGGTAGTTTACTAACACTTTGTTTTAAAAAGCAAAAATATATTTCTATGACTAGAGTTTATTAAAAGTAAATTGGTTCAAGATGTAACGTCAGCATTGACTATTCCAAATATAACTTCAAAATTATCATAACCACAAATCATCACATAAAGCATTTCTATACTACAAACAGTCAAAAAATTTTTCAATTTTTCCCCCTTATTCAAGGAGTGTTTGTAATGGGGGAGAGGGATCCTGTTCCCAAATAAATCAACACACAAATTCTTTCACAGGATTGATAATGATTCATGACCTTGCTGAAGCTGGCAGGTTTACAAATAAGATTTATACAGGATCTTTTGACCACTCCCTTTTTCCTTTTAAAAAAAATAATCAACTATTATTTTCCCTTTTAAAATATACCCATTTAAATGCTATTTTCACATGATAACTCGATTAGTAATTTCACAGTATCTAAACCAAAAGGAATTAAAATCTCCAATGACATAATATTACCATTCCCTTAACAGCATTTCTTATAGAATGGTTTCCCAGAATTTACAAGAAAATTAAGAAACATTATAGTAGGTCACAATATCATGAATTTAAAACATGAAACAAAACTCCATACTAATCAGATGATATTAATTCAATCAAATGCATTTCCAAATTATATAGAAAATCATTTGATTTATCACAAATAGCTTTTAAAATCACAATCCCCATGGGTTGGAAAGGAATTAGTACAAAACACATTTCATTAAATACCCAAGTAGCAAAAAGGAAACATATGTATAGGCCAAATGAGATCACATAAAACAAATGAATCTCACAGTAAAAATATTAAAAGATATACATAAGGCTTTACCAGTTTAAATTTAGAACTGTCATTGTTAGGCCAATTCAAAATATTCAGAGCTAAAGATTATAAGCCATTGTTAAAATATCTTACTGTATACTAAATAACTGGGCTTATAAGATCTCAGGAGTCTGTATTTCAAATCTTAAAGACATTTCTGCTATATTAAAATTACAGTAAAACATTATCATTATCTATTGCAGTTCCAAATGAAGTTTCAAGCAATTTACATCATTCTTGCAACAGTTGAATCCATAACAACTGAATCAATAACCCAAAAGAATCTAGATTTTAAAAGAATTTACCACTTTATCAATATTCTTATTAGAATGAATGATCAAATTAATGTTAGGTACCATCTTTATCCACATTACAGATTGGTAAATTGAGGTAGCTTCTTTTAAGATCACACAATTAACAAATTACCTGATCCATGCATTTTTAACACTTTGTCTTAATGTCAAAAAATAGAATAAACTCTGGCATCATGAGCATCTTATTAGGAGAGACATATTTCAGTTAAAACTGAGACCAGAATAATTAAATTTATTACACCTGGATTTATTTAAATATATGTCTAAATCATGTGCCCGTTTTGATTTTATTTTGGTATAGGGTGTATGTTGCTAGTCTGTACCTAATTTCTGCCATACCTTTTTTTTTTTCAGTTTTCCCAGCAGTTTTTGTCATATGATGAGTTTTTATCATCAAAGCTTTATTCTTTAGTATTCTCCAAGTATACCATCATATCATCTTCAAAGAGTGATAATTTTGTTTCCTCATTGCGTATTTTAATTCCTTCAATTTCTTTTTCTTCTCTTATTGCTATAGCTAGCATTTCTAGAACAATATTGAATAATAGTGGTAATAATGGGCATCCTTGCTTCACTCCTGATGTTATTGTGAAGGCTTTTAGCTTATCCCCATTACAGATAATGCTTGTTGATGATTTTATTTTTTAAAATATTTTATTTTCCTCCAATTACATGTAAAGACAATTTTTAACATGCGTTTAAAAAAAAATCTTGAGTTCAAACTTTTCTTCTTTCCTCACCTCCCCCCTCCCTGGGATGGTAAGCAATTTGATGTAGGTTTTACATGTGCAGTCATGAAAAACATATTTCCATATTAGTCATGTTCTGAAAGAACACACAGACCCAAAGAAAAAAACACACAAAAATAAAAAAAAAAATACTATGCTCCAATCTCCATTCAGACTCCATCTGTTCTTTCTCTGGAGGTGCATAGCATTTTTTCATCATGAGTTCTTTGATATTGTCTTGGATCATTATATTGCTGAGCTGGTCAGTGTACAATATTGCTGTTACTATGTATAATGTTCTCCTGGTTCTGCTCACTTCACTTTGCATCTGTTCATCTAAGTCTTTCCAGGTTTTTCTGAAATCAGCCTGCTTGTAATTTCTTGTAGCACGATAGTATTCCATTACAATCAAATGCCACAACTTTTTCAGCTGTTCTCCAATTGATGGGCATCCCCTCAATTTCCAATTGTTTGCCGTCACAAAGAGAGCTGCTATAAATATTTTTGCACAAGTAGGTCCTTTTCGACCCACATGTACAAAAATATTCATAGCAGCTCTTTTTGTGGTGGCAAAGAATTGGAAATTGAGAGGATGCCCATCAATTGGGGAACGGCTGAGCAAGTTGTGGTATATGAATGTAATGGAATACTATTGTGCTATAAGAAATGATGAACAGGCTGACTTCAGAAAAACCTGGAAAGATTTATATGGTCTGATGCTGAGTGAGCAGAACCAAGAGGACTTTGTACACAATAACAGCCACGTTATGTGATGACTAATATTGTTAAACTGAACCCTTCTCAGTATTACAAGAATCTAAGACATCTCCAGAGGCCTCGGGATGGAAAATGCTGTCCACATCCAAAGAAAGAACTATGGAAGTTGAATCGCTGTAACTTATTTTTACCTTCTGTTGAGTTTTGTTTTGTCTTTCTGATGGTTCCTCCTATTGGTTTTAATTTTTACTTACGACTTCTCTGATGTGAAAATGTGTTTAATAGGAATGTAAATGTAAAGTCTATATCTTGGGGAGGGGGAGGGGAAGAAGGGGTAGAAAAATGTTAAACTCAAAAGCATATGGAAGTGATTGTTGATAAATCAAAATAAATTAATAAATTTTTTTTAAAGTAGGTCCTTTTCTCTTTTTTTTATCTCTTTGAGATACAGACCTAGTAGTGGTACTAAGTCAAAGGGTATACAAAGTTTTATAGCCTTTTGGGCATAGTTCCCAATTGCTCTCCATAATGGTTGGATCAGTTCACAACTCCACCAACAATGCATTATTAGTGTCACAGTTTTCCCACATTCCCTCCAACATTTATCATTTTCTTTTTCTGTCATATTAGTTAATCTGATAGTTGTGAAGTTTTAACTCAGAATTGTTTTCATTTGCATTTTTCTACTCAATAGTGATTTAGAACATTTTTTCATATGACTATAAACAGTTCTGATTACTTTGTCTGAAAACTGCCTGTTCATATCATTGACCATTTATCAATTGAGGAATGACTTGTATTGCTATAAATTTGACTCAGTTCTCTATAAGATAAATGAGGTCTTTATCAGAGACATTTGCTGTAAAAATTGTTTCTTTCTGCTTTCCCTCTAAACTTGGTTGCATTGATTTTGTTTGTGCAAAAACATTTTAATTTAACATAATCAAAATTATCCATTTTATATCTGGTATTGCTCTCTATCTCTTGTTTGGTCCTAAATTCTTCCCTTATTCATAGATCTGACAGGTAAATTATTACTTGCTCTCTTAATTTGCTTATGGTATCACTCTTTATGTTTAAATCGTGTATCCATGTCATATAATTATAGATAGTTTAGATTAGTTCATCTGAAAACTGCCTATTTGCGTCCTTTGCCCATTTATCAATTGAGGAACGACCAGGGTTTTTTTTTAATTATTTTTCAAATGGCTAGAGATGTGACTTAATGAAGATTGACATTTTCATAGCTAGTCCCACTATGAATTAAAACTTTACATAAAAATGTATTCTGTCTTTAGAGCTTAGAAAGACAGCTGAGATTGAACAGTAATGCCTTTAATCGTCAATTAGCTGCTGAAAACAGAAAGACTATAACTGCCAGAACTGCTACAAAGAACCTTCAAATGGAAGTACAATGCCTTCAACAAAAACTTAAGGTATTCCTTTTAAAATATTGCCTATTATATGTATGTACAGTATTGAGATCTTTTCATAGAACAGTGTTAGTTACTTGAAATGACTAAATAAGTGAACTGAAGAGGCCTCTTAAATTTTTTAAGTTTGTGTACTGAGATATCAACAAGCAGAGGATCTAACTTAAGCATTATCATTTGTTAATCAAAAAGTCGACAGAAATGTGCTATGAGTATTCTAAAAGGTTCTGTATTGAGTAAAGTGCATTGGCTTTACTGTATGGGTTTTATGATATTGAAGTGGGATTTTTTTTGAAATGTTCATTTTATTTTTGAGACTGGGTCTCCCTATCTCACCTAGTCAAGTACATCTGCCACTCACGAGTGCAGTCCCAATACTGAATAGTATGGTACCTTTAATCTACACCTGGGCCAATTTGCCCCTCTGTAGGAAGAGTGGTGGCCCCCTGTCTCCCTGGGCTCACTAAACTGGTATCAGACTTGGTATGGACACTTGGTCTCCATTAGCCCTACTACAACTCAAAACTCCTACATCAACCTCAGCCTCTAGAGAAGCAAGAACTACAGGTGTACATCACTAAACTTAGCTTGGAATTCTAATAATAAACTATAATATACTGATAAACTAATTTTACTTTGGCAATAATTTAAAGAACAAAACAGGTGAGATTTGCTTGTTCCTCAAGGTGTCTGCTTCAAATCAGTGTTATAATACTTGCATTTAGGAGCATCATACCAAGGATGATAGAAGGAAGCCCTTAATGGCACAGTAGACAGAATCCTGGGCCTGGAGTCAGGAAGACCTGAGTTTAAATCTGACCTCACACACTTACTAGCTATGTGACTCTGCGAAAATCATTTAAACTCTGTCTTGACATCTTCTTTAATGAGAATAATAATAGCACCTAGCTCCCAGGGTTGTTGTGAGGATCAAAGGAGATTTAAAATTATAAAGCACTGGGGCAGTTATGAGGCACAGTGGATAGATCACCAGCCCTGGATTCAGGACCTGAGTTGAAATCCAGCCTTAGACACATAGCACTAGCTGTGTGACCCTGGGCAAGTCACTTAACCTCATTGCCTAGCCAAAAAAAATGTGTGTGTGTGTGTGTGTGTGTGTGTGTGTATGATTAAGCACTTAGAACAGTGCCTTGCACCTGGTAAGAGCTATATGGATATTAGCTATTATTAAAGAAAGTGTTATATTGCTTTTTTCTTAGGAAAAAGATCGAGAACTTGATATAAAAAATATATATACTAACCGGTTCCTTAAAAATTTATTTGACAAAGATGAGCAAACAAAAGGTAAATCTGAATGAGTTCCCTTTTTTATTTTGAAAATAAAATCAATTGTAGTTTTCATTAAATTAAAAAAATCTTATAGAATCCATCCTTAAAATCCAAAAGTGTTCCATTTCATTCCCAGTTTCCAATCCAGGTATTGTCAAAATCTTTTGGCTGTCAGTTCTAGTCACACAATGATCATTAGCCTAAATTCTCATTCAAATTCTTATTTTAGAGAAGGAAGAAAAAAACATAATTTACTGATTAGTTATTTGTTATTTTAGGAAACCATGAGAAGACCATTGAATCTTTCAAAGGTAATATTTTTAACTGCCTTCTTTTTAATGGTAAATTCAAATTCTCATTTGTAGCTGGAAAGCAGTTCTGAAATGAGGATGCCCTATCTTTACAAACTCTTAGCACTTAAAAAGTCAGAAGGAACCAAGTTTCTTACAGATGTTCTGGCTCTAGCAGATGCCACATCTTTTAGTAGAAGTGGGGCCCATAAAAAAGAGGTCCCGTAGGATATGAGTGTGTTCAAAGGGATCTCAATGCCCAGCAAGACTGACAACAGTGTCAGCAAGTGTCAAGGTGCCTTCAGACAAAAATTTAGCACCAAATACTATTCCAGGAGGCTTTCAGTCTCATTTGCCTTATCAATCTCTCTGTCTCTCTGGGATCAAAAGCAAAAGGCTCAGAAGTATGATATGAACACATTAATAGGTATGAATGTACTTTGGAAGCTTATGGTTATTATTAATAGCACATCGATAGCATATCAATAACATGTTAATATAATTATTTGTTTGTTCAGCACTGATCCAGCCTGCTCTAGGGAAAAAAACTCTCCTTGTTAGGTTTTGGCTTCCCCTCTCTCAGGCCTGCATTCATAATCATATTAATTGTTGGGTTTTTTTAAAAATAACAACTTCAAATTTCACAGTGACAAGAATAAGATATTAATTAATAAAGCTTTGAGATGCCAATTGCTTTGACTTCTGGTAAAAGGCCTCCCTCTTCTCCCTCATTCAGAAGGAAAATGAGAAGTAAAATGGCTGAACATGTGAACAGAGATCAGCTTCCCTGCTCCAGTGACTAAGAAAGGAAAGAACAGTAGTACAATGTTAGGCTTACGTACCTCCCTGATCCTGTCTGCTTCCTCTTGTTTTCACTGGTGCCTCCATCGAGTTATAACCTCAGCTTGCAGGCAGCAGCATCTCAGCCCCAGTTCTGGTCTCTTTTCTAACGCCCTATGCTTCTCTTTGCTGGCACATCCTAGCAAACACATAGAATTCATAGACAACATGTATACCTAGAGCTCTTCTTTCTGGCCATTTCTTTTCCAGTCCCTTCAAAGTAAAAACAACTTGGGGGATTCTGGGGATTTCTGGTATTATCTCTATGGTTACAATTCTAGGGGAAGGGAGAACCACAATAAACCAGACTTTACTGTGCTTATCCCATTATCCTCCCCTAACTAGGTAAGAATAGAGTGTTACAGTATTAAAGGAAATTTAGTTAATCATGTTAAATGAACACAGCATATCTTACTCTCATAGACAAGTCTAGTTTGTTGTATTGATGTTAAATATTAAATTTTTAATAAAATATCTTAACAAAGAAAAAAATCAACTATTGTCAAGAAATGTTGGCTCTCTCACAGTTAGCCTTTACCCTTAAAATCCAAAGTACCCACCAGTGCCTGGTATGGGAATACATTAATATATCTTCTTGAAACTGAATCCCTAAACTTCACCTCATTCAGGCCTTTGTCTTGCCCTAATTTACCCTAGAATTCCCCTGCCTAGCCTTAGCCCTGCTCCTTACACTCAAAATTCATCTCACTCCTAATTCCCAGAGCCCTGTCTTCACCACAAACTTTGCCCTCCCTACTTTTGTACATCAGCCCCTGCTTCAGCGTCTAACAAAGCCTCCCCAGCCACGTAGGCTCCAATCCCCACCTCTTTATCCCTTATCACTTGCTAGTGTTCTTGCCTCATATAATTGGAACCTCCATCAATACTTAAAGCTAAAGGAGTAATTGTCAATGAATGAAGTGGGCCAGAATTAATGAGGAAGAATTTCTGATCCCTGACAGTGGGGGGAATTGTGGTTGTCTGGTATTCCAAGTTGAAACTCTTAATACTTTTTCTATTATTATTTTTTTTTATTTTATAAACAATTTTTAACATGTGTTTTTAAAACTTTGCATTAAAAATTTTCTCCCTTCCTCCCTCCCCACCCACCCTCATTGAAAAGGGAAGTAACTCGATACAGGTTATAGATGTGTAGTCATGCAAAACACTTCCATAGTAGTCATGTTGTGAAAAACTAAGTATATTTCCCTTCATCCTATCCTACCCCCATTTATTCTATTCTCTCTTTTGACCCTGTCCCTCCTCAGAAGTGTTTGCTTCTGATTATCCCCTCCCCGAATCTGCCCTGCCCTCTATCATCCCCCTGCTCTCTTGTCCCCTTAACCCCTTATTTTCCTGTAGGGTAAGATAGATTTCCATACCCAAGTGTGCATGTTATTCTCTCCTTAAGCCAAATCCTATGAGAATAAGATTCACTCATTCCCTCTCACCTTCCCCCATTTCCCCTCCACTGTAAAAGCCTTTTCTTGTCTGTTTCATATGAGACAATTTACCCCTACTACCTCTCCCTTTCTTCTTCTCCCAGTATAATCCTCTCACCCCTTAATTTAATTTTCCAGATATTACCCCTTCATCCTCAACTCACCCTGTGCCATCTATCTATCTATCTATCTACCTATCTATCTATCTATCTATCTATCTATCTATCTATCTATGTATACATATATATGTGTGTGTGTGTGTATGTGTATGTATGTGTATATATATACACTACCCTAATACTGACAAAGGACTAATGAGTTACAAATATCTTTCCATGCAGGAATGTAAACAGTTCAACCTTAATAAGTCTTTTATAATTTCTCTTTCTTGTTTACCTCTTCATATTTCACTTGAGTCTTGTATATGAAGGTCAAATTTTCTATTCACCTCTGGTCTTTTCATCAAGAGTGCTTCAAAGTCCCCTATTTCACTGAATGACCATTTTTTACCCTGAAGGATTATACTCAGTTTTGCTGAGTAGGTGATTGTTGGTTGTAATCCTATCTCCTCTGCCCTTTGGAATATTATATTCTATGCCCTCCGGTCCCTTACTGTAGAAGCTGCTAAATCTTGTGTTATCCTGATTGTGTTTCTGCAATACTTGAATTGTTTCTTTCTGGATGCTTGCAATATTTTCTCCTTGACCTGGGAATTTTGGAATTTGACTACAATATTCCTAGGAGTTTTCCTTTGGGGACCTCTTTCAGGAGGTGATCAGTGGATTCTTTCAATTTCTATTTTGCCCTCTGGTTCTAAAATATCAGGGCAGTTTTCCTTGATAATTTCTTGAAAGATGATGTCTAGGCTCTTTTTTTGATCATGACTTTCAGATAGTCCAATAATTTTTAAATTCTCTCTCCTGGATCTATTTTCCAGGTCAGTCGTTTTTCCAATGAGATATTTCACATTCTCTTCTATTTTTTCATTCTTTTGGATTAGTTTTACAGTGCCTTGATTTCTCATAAAGTCACTAGCTTCTAATTGCTCCATTTTAATTTTTAAGGAAGTATTTTCTTCAGTAAGCTTTTGGACTTCCTTTTCCATTTGGCCAATTTTGCTTTTTAGGGCATTCTTCTCCTCATTGGCTTTTTGGACCTCTTTTGCCATTTGGGGTAGGCTGTTTTTTAAGGTGTTATTTTCTTCTGTATTTTTTTGGGTCTCCTTTAGCAAGCCATTGACTTGTTTTTCATGATTTTCATGCATCACTCTCAGTTTTTCCTCTACTTCTCTTACTTGCTTCTCAAAATCCATTTTGAGGGGGCGGCTAGGTGGCACAATGGATAGAACCCTAAAGTCAGGAGGACCTGAGTTCAAATCCAGCCTGAAACCAAACACTTGACACTTATTAGCTGTGTGACCCTGGGCAAGACACTTAACCCCAATTGCCAAAAAAAAAAAATCCTTTTTGAGCTCTTCCATGGCCTAAGACCAATTCATATTTTTCTTAGAGGCTTTGATGTAGGAGCTTTGGCTTTGTTGTCTTCTTCTGGTTGTATGTTTTGATCTTCTTTGTCACCAAAGATAATATAGTCTAACTCTTTTTGCACTGCTTGCTCATGATCCCAACCAATTACTTGAGTTACAAACTCTTTGTTAAGGTAAGGGTCTATTTCCAGTGTGGAGAATGTACTGTCCCAAGCTTCAGGGGTTTTGTGCAGCTGTTTTCAGAGATACTTCTAGGGACCTGTAAATTTTCAGTTCTTCCAAAGTGCTATCATCAAGGGTGAGGTGTTTACTCCTTTCCTGGCCTGTGCTCTGGTCTATGATTGCCCACAAGCACTCTTTTCTATCTTGGCATTATGAGGAGGGTTTTCTCTGTACCACCACTACAAGCTCCACCATGCCAGTGCTCCTCCTTGCCCCAGGACCACCAACTAGAACTGTGACCCAGATCCAAGCACAGTCAAAGCAAGAAAATCCTGCACCAGCAGAGAGATCCCTGCAATCCCCCTCAGTCTTTGGGCCGGAAGCTCAGGAAGCAGCCGCCACCCCAGGGCCAACCTTAGGGAATGGGGCTGGAACCCCGACATACTTCTCTCTCACCACCACAGAAACAGACTTTTCCCACTGACCTTCTAAGTTGACTTTGGCATATGTGGGTTGAGAAGTCTGGAAACAACCACAGCTGCCTGTGATTCAGTCCTCTGAGGCCTGCTCCAGGTTTGCTGAGGCCTGTGCGCCCACACTAAAATGCGCTCCTCTTACAGCCTGGCATGATATACCTTTCCAATTAACCATTCAGGTTGTCTTGGGCTGAAAATTTGTTTCACTCTGTCTTTTTGTGGCTTCTGCTGCTTTAGAATTTATTTAGAGCCATTTTTTACAAGTATTTGGAGGGGTTTGGGGGAGAGCTCAAGCAAGTCACTGCTTTCACTCCACCATCTTGGCTCCGTCTCCCCCTTAATACATTTTTCCATGCAAACATTTTTATATGTGTTGATTATGATAAGTGTACTAAGTATATTATGGATTAAATATGCTTTTGCAAGCTGACTTGGGAGTCTACCTACCATGCTTAATATCTAAATGTTTCTCTGCACTAAAGAGGTACATTAATTATCTCTCACCCACAGTTTGGCATAATGAGGTAAGTAAATATTTTCATTTCAGAGAAAAAAAATCTCAAATTTCCTTTTTGAGCTTCTGCTAAGCTGCAAGTTGTAACTCAAAGTAATGGCAAATCAAGATGCTGTCAACAAAGAAGTTATTTAAGTATAGTAGAAAATAATGTCACAACTAATCTGAAATCTAGACTTGATAGAGATACACTTCCTCACAGAAGATATAGGGCTGTGACCCCTTGCTAATAGCCAAAGATTTAATAGTGTTCACCACAATGTTACCTGCTATATCATTACTGTATCTCTGTATTCCTCTTCTGTATCCTCAAGGCTTTTGTTTCCCTTTTTCTTCACACTTTACTTGCTTTGTATCATTCACACCATGTCAACCATGTGACCAAGAAGCATGCAAAGCAAGATGACTGTAAAAGGTAAAGGAAAGAGAGAAAATGTTGTAATTGGAGTAGTTTTGAAAGATGTACTTTGTTCCATTGTACTTCCAAATTACACTGTAACAGAGGGTTTTTTTAGCCAAGTCTGGAGCATTTACATGACATTTACCTAATTAGTGAAGAAAAGGTTGACACAACATTATGTGACTGTATTAGGGGAGAAGCTGATAGAAGAGCTTTGGAGAGGAGAAATATTCTTTTTCTTCAAGCAGAAATGATATGCAGCTTTTGGAATAGGTAATGGGTCCTTAACACAAACAGAACTAATAAAAACAAGCAAAATGACAACAAGGTGAATAATAAAATCTAATGTAACTGTAGCTTCAGGGGTATCAAGTCCTTTGGCAGTGTCCATGATATTCAGGTGTCTGGCAAGCATTTCCTGTGTGTTACTCAAGCATCTGTGGATGGATCAGAGTAGGTTTGTGGAGGTATTTCTTTAACAATCATCAGGTTCCAGGTCACTTGTGGAAATTCTCTGGGTAATGTTGATAAAACCTACTAGTGATAATTTAGTAAAACCCCACAAAATCTAATTTTGGCCCTCCTATTGGCTTATTGGCCTTCCAGTCCATACGGTGAAAACCAGTTCAGACCTTATGGAGCTAATCTTATTAATGACAGAGCTAAATGACTATCAAATAAGAAACCCATAGTTCACCTGAAATTTCAGAGAATTTCAGTTTTTATATACCACTTGCTCTTTCTAGCCTGACCCAAACCCCATACTTGATAGATACAATGCCATCAACAGGCTAAAGGAAGAATCTTTAAAAAAAAAAAAATTTTTTTCAAGGATCCATGAAGGCCTGACTTGTAAAATGAGCCCTTCTGTCTCTTAATATTATCAGAGAGTCAGAGATTTCAAAATGGGGAAGGGGGAGAAATGATTTAAAATTTTCTTTGCAATTATTAATGTAATTTTATATGTAAAATCTTTAATCCAATTTTGAGAACTCATTACTAAAATATACTCAAGACATGTATACCCCATTAGAAACATTTGGAAATATATATCTCCTAGTTCTTAGACAAAACAATCTAATCTTACCTTCTCAAAATTTTCTACTCCATTAAGTTAAAAAAACTTTAACATCTTTATCTTATCCTCTACTTTTAAGGATATATATTATCCTTATATCATCCTGAAAGAATTAGATACTTTAAGGATCTAATTTTATACATGAATATTTAACTATTAGCAAGGGGAGTGATGGCAAGCCTAAGAACACATTTCCCTGGTTACTTAGGATATGGAGTTAACCTCAAATTCAGATTTAAAATAGTAAAATCTTTCACACTTGCATCCTATTATAGTAACTCAGAGAGATGTTTTAGTATTAATTTATTAATTAATACATTTAGTATTGCAATGAAAAAATCTTCTATAGTTCACCTGCCCTAATTTTAGAAATTTGCTATGAAAGGGAAAATGTAGGACCTGGTTATGACAATATCAAGAGTGCCCTTTCAAGGACACAGACTGACCTGCCATAAGCCATAACAGGGGGAAAACTCCCTTAGCTCTGTTTGATTCCAGGTAAAAGTCATAATTAACAGCCAATCATGTAGCAAAGTTCTATAATATTTACAGGGTATCATAGCCAGACTCAGAATTAACCAGGTGGGAAAATGTCCTGTTCAGAAAGGAAATAGCAGTGGGGAAACGGAGTCAAGACAGCCCAGCCTTCACCCCCTCAACTTTCCCAGGCATAGACAATCACCTCTAGCAATTGTCAGATCACACTTCCTTTGGACAGCCCATGGCATTTTTCTTGGATGGTGGGCTATTGGCTTAAAGACAATTCAGACAATTATACCTGTAGTCAAAACTCAGAACAGTATCAAATTATAGTCCTAAGAGATTTTACCTCAGTTGCAAGTTTCACTAATCACAGCTTAGGGCAGATACAGTTATTATTTCTGTTATGTTGTTACAATAACAGTTAACAATAAAAAGTTTACTAAGCTTTTTTAAAAAAATCATTTAACATCCTTTTCTTCCTTTTCTCCCCTTCTTCTTGAGTTTAAACTCACCTGTTGTAAAAATCAATCAATAGAAATTAAGAAAATAAGTACACATAGATAGTGCTAGTTCACTCAAAACCCAGAAAAACACTGGCTACTTTCTGTAAGTGACCAGGCTAATGGATATCCATCTCTTAAGATATTGTATTTTAACTTCAAACCACATTAGTTCATTTTTTTAAACCTTCTTCTCTAAAGGAGTCCCAGAAGGTACCTTTGATAAATATGTAGAGACAAAATATGTAAAGACAAAAAGATGAGAAAATTCCATACAAAGCATTAAAGAAGTCGACCATCCTTAACAGATTTTCCTTTTTCATTGGCAAGAGAGGAGGATTATACAGAAAATGTTCCTTTTTAGTTATTCTGTTTTTTCCAGCTCCTAGATTACTTACTGGCTTTATTTCCTCAATTTGGCCTTCAGACAATGGGTATTGTTTAACATTTGGCCAACAGGCAGTATCCTTATATTTTATAACCACTGGGTCCACTTATCCCCTAAAGGGGGGGTAAGATGCTCCAAATTTACACATACTTTCTTATCCACTTCCTATCTGATTATACAAATAGGGAATAGAGAGTAACCTATTTGTCTAAGCAGATTGCAAACAGAAATCAGATAAATCAAGTAGATTAAAATATACTAGAAAATACACACAAGTAAATGAGCTCTTTGGATGAGTGTGAAATTAGATCTCAGTTCCACTGAGAGACGCTTGTTGAGGGGCTGGTTTAGCTAACCTTCCTTTTACTTCCTAAGTCTTTCATGTTATAAGTCTCTCCCCACAGATAGTCTAGAACCACATGTTTCTTAAAGAAACAAAAAAGTCCTTTCCAAAGCTCTTACAGCAATTCCATCCCTCATGCAGTCATGCAGTGCCATGTTAGCATTCTCTCCACTAGTTAAGAGAGTTTCATTCAAAATGCATTAGAGTTGGCTAGAAACCTGGGTTATGGCATGTTTCAATTTTAATTTGTGGCTATAATTTTTATTGTTTTCAAAACCAATAAATAACAATATTTCCTCATTTTTAATCTTCCTTGTAGTTTCACCACCAACCAAATCCATACAAACAGAAAAGAAAAACCATCTATTTCCATGTCTAGTTCCACATCAATTGAAGAAAAATACAAAAGATAGTATATCTCTGCCAACTAAGGTACAACAAATCTGAAATCTCAAGTTTTCTAAGTTGTTTTGTTCATTTCCCTCCCCCCCCCAAGTTTTGGATTCTGATGCTAAGTTTTTTCTTTTTATATAAATCATTTTTAATTACAACAAATAATTCTATTCACTAGTGTGAAAAAAAATTACCTGGAGAAAAATTCATCTTTTGCAATTATTCTAAATTTAATGTGAATTACAGGAGGTTAAACCCACAGGAAATGATGCTAAAAAAGAAAAATCAATTTATTTTAATCGTGAAGCAATCCATGATATCATTAAATTACCAAATGAAGAAGATCCTGAAAAAATGTATAAAGGTATGTCTTAAAGTGTCCTTTGTTCTTATACAAATTGGAGAAATGAATGCTTCTCTTTGTATCTTTAATGTTCATTACAGAATTTTACAAATTTTTTTTTTTGCTTTTTGGCTAGGTAGTGGGGTTAAGTGACTTGCCCAGGGTCACACACCTAGTAAGTGTCTTGAGGTCAGATTTGAACTCAGGTCCTCCTGACTCCAAGGCCAGAGCTCTATCTACTGCGCCACCTAGGTGCCCCGCAAACAAAATATTTTTAAGAATAGATTTTTAAAATAGTTGATAAAAGAATAAAAACACTGTTAATGAAAATTTGAAAAACATTCAACTTCACTAGTAATCAAAAGAAGATACAAATTAAAGAAATTCCAAATTCTACCTTACAGGGCAAAAATAATTAAAAACAATGAAACTTGTAGTTGGTGGTCCAGAGAAACAATATTGATGCAATTGCAAACTTGTATAACCTTTTTGGAAAGCATTCTTTCCAATGCAGGACATAGTAAAATGCTTGATAACTTTTTATTGAAGTTACAAAAATAATCATACCCTTTTACCCAATAATCTTTGGTGATATACCATAAGAAAGTTATCAAAAGAAAAGTAAGTAAAAGAAAAGGCTCTATCTATTCAAAGATTTATAAAACAGTATTTTTTTTGCAATTGAAAACATGCAAACAATCTAAATGCCCAATAGTAGGTAAATGTTTAAATAAACTGTGGCATATTAATGCAATTAAGGGGTTTTTTTTAATGTATAAAGAATATAAGGAAATCTGGAAGGACCTTAATGAAATAATTAATATAAAACAAAACAAAAAAAACAGGGAGGAAGCAGGAAGGAACAAGCATTTATTAATCACTACTATGTGCCTGGCTTTATGCTAAGCTCTTTACAAATATCTCATTTGAGCCTCACAACAGCCCTGGAAGCAGGTGCTATTATTGTCTCCATTTTATACACGAGCATCCTGAGGCAGGCAAAGGTTAGGCAATTTGCGTAGGATCACTAAGCTAATAAGTGTCTAAAGCTGGATTTGAACTTCGGTCTTCCTGTCTCCTAGATGCCTGGGTGGTGCAGTGGACAGAGTACTAGGCCTGGAGTCAATAAGACCTGAGTGTAAATCTGGCCTCAGACACTTACAAGCCGTGTGACCCTGGGCAAGTCACTTAACCTCTGCCTTAATCCACTGGAGAAAAAAAATGACAAATCATTTCAGTATCTTTGCCAAGAAAATGTCATGGACAGTGTTGGTGTGCTATGGTCCACAGGGTCAGGAAGAGTTGGACATAACTGAATAACTAAGCAAATATCCACAGGAGGGCTACAGAAACTTACTCTCATGGTTTTGCAGTGCCTACAGATGACGTATTTAGATTTAGCAGTTAATCAGTAGTGAATATATTGTGAAATAAGAGAGCTTAAATCTGTAAGTGTAATCTTTTGTCTCTATCAAGTTATATGAAGTTTTATACAGTCCATAAATTCATTTCATATAAGTTCTTAAAGTGTCCGTTTTTAATGGACAAGCAAAGTTAATGGGAAAGAATATATTAACAAGGATCATCAGATTTGAAATTAAATTTTGAATCAATATTACATTCTATTAAGAATTAAAATTTTCATGGGAGCATTGCATTTATAGAATATTGTTCCAAAAAAGATACAGAAAGTTTTACAGTTTATGTATTTTTAAGGATAGTTCATCATGACTTTTTCTTATGTTTGAGAATATAATTGGATTATTTATTTATTATATTTATTTATATTATATTTATACGTATTATATTTATTTCTATAATTGGATATTTATCTTTTTCCTCCACATATTCCCTTTTCACAATATCTATTTTGAAGAGACTGATAAGTAAAAGTGGTATTAGATTTGTTCAACTTAGCCCCAGAGGATAAATATAGGTGCAAAAGCTAGAAATTACAGAGAGGCAGGTTTTAACTACATCTAAAGAGAAACTAATGAACACTTAAAGTTTTCCCAAAATGGAATGGGCTTCCTCAGCAGTTAGCAGGTTCTATTCACTAGAGATCTTAAAGACTAAGATCATCACATGTTCTAGAACTGAAAGGATATTCTCAGTCATTTGCAGCCTGAACTAATTGTTCTCTGAGTTACCTTCCAATGTGATTCTCTGATACCACATTTAGGAGACAGGTTTTTTTTTTCCATTCCAGAGGGAATATGTTCAAGCTTCCATAAATGTTCAAGTCATAATAAAAATGATTCTATTTACTCATTGTTTTTTCATTTTGTAGGTCACTTTGTAAAACAACACTCAGAATCATAAACAATAATTCATCTCTTATAAATAAGAAATAAAGTCTCACAGTAGGATAACTGGATTATTGCCAAGTATATCCAAAACCCACCCTGGCACCAGAAATACCATGATTTAAAAGATGTTCTATTTAACCCTTACTACTAATTTCATAATGAAGATATAACCAAAATCCAAGACCCTATTACTGTGATTTTGGCCATGTTGGTTTTTTTTTAATTTGGATTATGTTTAAATAACTAAAAAGGAGGTTTCTAAGTTAAGATCACAAGCTAATGAAGCAAAATTAAATGATTATACTATACAAAGTTACCAGTAAAAATACCATGTTGGAAAGGATTCAGTAGAATAAAAATCTAAATGAACCAAAAGCAGACTGGAGCACAAATGAGATGAAAAATTTCCCTTTTTTTGTTTACTGTAAATTTAAAGCATTAACAAAAATAAACATTCAAATATACAAAAAAGAATTCTAAAATATTGTGCATGAAATCATAAACTTCCATTATTTATAATTTATTTTAAACTATTTTTAAATGTATATATATATTACATTTAACAAGTTAGTAACAAAATATCCTGTCTTTTTCTGTCTCCTGAACTTTTTTCTTTGTATTCATCTATATTTCTTTGCTATCATCATCATCATTATTATTATTATTATTATTTACATAGTTGTGGTCTACATGTACACTCTTATTTTCATTGTACTTTCTTCATTCTATATCACTTCATAAGTCTTTCCGTATTCATAGTCATTTATAATTAATATGTATAATTTTGATGATGGGATAGTATTTCATTATTTTCACATATCACAATTTATGTTGCCATTCTCTAATCATTAGATATCTTGTTATTTTCATATTTTGTGATTAATGGTGCTATAGACATATTTTTTACAGATAGTAATTACTTGTCATATCAGTATCTCCTTTTGGGTATTGTCCTAATAATGGGATCACAGGACCAAAAGATATGAATAATTTTGGAGTTATTGTAAAATGTCACATATTGTAAAATGACTCACTATGGAACAGGGGTGGGTTCAAGATCCTTAAGTGCGGCCTTTTGACTGAATCCGAATTTTACAGAATTGTTTTAGAAGACCACATGTGGCCTCAAGGCCATAGGTTCCCCACCCCTGCACTATGGAATAGGAGTAACCCTGGATTCTCAATGTCAGTGCCAACAGAATGCTAGCTGGAAAGGCTTTAAGGATGGGTTTAAGCACAGACTGCATCTTTTGTCTAAGAACTAGCCTACCTAACTTTAGAGAGGTGTATCATTGGTGGTGAATTTTTCAGGAACAACTTTTAAAGACTTTGTACTAGATTCTTTCTGAACTCTTACTATCATACAAATATGGTCTTGCAACCTAATCCAGGGGGAGACAAAGCAGAGAAAGAAAACTATAGACCAATATTCCTAATGAACATGGACACAAAAATATGGAATAAAATGTTAGCAAAGAGACTATAACAATAGATTTAAAAGATTACATACTTTAATCAGATTGAATTTGTACCAGGAATGCAAAATTGGCTCAATGTCAGGATAACTATGAACACAGTAGACCATATTAATAAAAAACAGATAAAAACCACTTCATTATATCAATAGAAGCTGAAAAGGGTAGAAAGTATAAAAATAAATTTACTTTTACCAAATATGTAAGTAATATGTAGATATTACTTTTAGATAGCTAAAAGCAAGAGTCAACATCATATGTAATGGAGAAATGTTGGAGGAGTTTACAATAAGACCAGGGCTAAAGAAAGGATATCCATTATCACCTTATTGCTTATCAACATGCCAGAAGTGCTATTTCTGACAATAAGAAAGGAAAAAGAAAATAAAAGGAATAAATATAGGCAAAGAGGAAATAATACTCTTGTCTTTTGTAGAAGATATGATGACTTATCAAGAGAACCCAAAAGAAACAACTAAAAAATTAACTGAAACAACTAGTTACTTCAATAAAGTTGCAGGACATAAAATATATCTACACAAATTATCAGCCTTTCGTATATTATCAATAAAATCCAGCAGAAAGAAATAGAAAGATTAACTCCATTCCAAATAACTGAATTATAAATGTATAAAATATTTGGGCATCTTTCTACCAAGACATATCTAGGAACAATAAGAATATAACTAAAACACTCTTTACTGAAATAAGATAGACCTAAGTAATTGGAGAAATACTAAAAATAACAACACTATCTAAATTAATTTACTTATTCACTGTCATACCAATTAAACTAGAAGGTAAGAAGATTGGAAAATTAGGAAAGGTCCAGGTTGTGAAGAATGCCAAATTAAAATTAGATGCCAAAGGACTTTATATTTAGTTCTGGGAGCCAGTGGAGTTTATTTAATAGAGGAATGCCACAGTCTGACCTGTGCTTTAGGAAAATCACTTTAGCAGTTGGGTTAAAAATGGATTAGAGTGAGAAGAGACTGAGGCAGGGTGATCAATTACGATGCTATTGTAACACTCTATGCAAGAGATGATGAGGACGTGATCTAGAATGATAGTTGTGTGAGTAGAGAGAACTCAAGAAATTCTGGAAAACAAGAAAGAAAGAAAGAAAGAAAGAAAGAAAGAAAGAAAGAAAGAAAGAAAGAAAGAAAGAAAGAAAGAAAGAAAGAAAGAAAGAAAGAAAGAAAGAAAGAAAGAAAGAAAGAAAGAAAGAGAGAGAGGGAGGGAGGGAGGAGGAGGAGGGAGGGAGGGAGGAGGGAGGAGGAAGGAGGAAGGAAGGAAGGAAGGAAGGAAGGAAGGAAGGAAGGAAGGAAGGAAGGAAGGAAGAAAGAAAGAAAGAAAGAAAGAAAGAAAGAAAGAAAGAAAGAAAGAAAGAAAGAAAGAAAGAAAGAAAGAAAGAAAGAAAGAAAGAAAGAAAGAAAGAAAGAAAGAAAGAAAGAAAGAAAGAAAGAAAGAAAGAAAGAAAGAAAGAAAGAGAAAGAAATAGAAAGGAAGGGAGGGAGGGAGAAAGGAATAGAAAGGAAGGGAGGGAGGGAGAAAGGAAGGGAAAAAGGAAAAGAAAAATATGAAAGAAGAAAGAAAAAGAATTACAAAATTTGGAAAAGGATTTGTGGTGAGTAAGAGAGAGGAACTGAGGATGACACCTGGCTTGCAAAACTGGTTCACTAGAGGATGTGGCGACCTTGATAGTAATAGGGAATTTCAGAAGATGTAGGTTTTGGGGAGACAGATAATGAGTTCTATTTTGGATATGTTGCATTTGAGATGCTTATGATCCATTTTGAGATGTCCAGCAGGTAGTTGTTGATGTGGTACTGGAGATAAGGAGGAAAAACAAGGCCAGATAAAAGATCTAGAAATCATCTGCATAGGGAAGATAATTACCATAGGAGCTGATAAGATCACCAAATGAGAGAATAGAGAGAAAAGTAGTGAAAACAGAGCCCAGGACAGAATCATGGGTAACACCTACTGTTACTAGGCATGAAATGGAAATTTTTTTTTCAAGATATATTGCTTTTGGTTGTGAAAAGTCTTTATTTTATATAATCTGATAGATAGATAGATACATATATATATATATATATATATATAGTATCATCTATAATTTCTTCTATATCTTGAATAGCTAAGAATTTTCCACCTCTTCAGAATGATATAGAAAGGAAGACAACAAGTAATTATTAAGTGCCATCTGCCATGCACCATGATAAAGGCTGAGGATAAAATAAAAGGAAAAAGAAAGACAGCCCCTGCCCTCAAGGAGCTTACATTCTAATGAAGGAAGAAAACACACATCACTTTCTCTTGCTGCCCCTATATCCAATCAGTTGTCAAGTACTGCCATTTTAGCTTCACAATATCTCTCATATGCAGCCCTCCCCTTCTCTCCTCTAAGGCCATCTTCCTAAAGCTCAGATCTGATTTTGTTACTCCCCTCCTCAATAAACTCCAGAAAGTCCCTACTATTGTCTCTGGAATTAAATATAAAATCTTCTGTTTCGCTTTTAATCTTTCATAACCTGGCTCCTTCCTACTTTTCAGTCTTCTTATACCTTGCACTCTTCCATGTACTCTTAAGATCTAGTGGCTCTGGCCTCCTTGCTCTTTTTCACACACAATCTTCCATTTCCCAATTCTATGTACTTTTACTGGCTGCCCCTCACATCTGGAATTTTTTTCCATCCACATCCTGCCTTAGTTTCTCTGGTTTCAAGTCTCACGGTAAAATCTCACTTTCTGCAAGCAGCCTTTCCCAATCACTTAATTCTAGTGCCTTTCATCTGTTATAATCTCCATTTTTATCCTATATTTTTATCTAATATTTTAGTGAATAATGTTTGTCTATAATAACAACAGTAATAATACTAGCTAGTATATATATATATATGTGTGTGTGTGTGTGTGTGTGTGTATGTGTGTTTGTGTGTATATACATATATATATGTATATGTATTATTTCAAGTTTTTCAAAGTGCTTTACAACTATTATCTCATTTTATCCTCAGAAAAACCCTGGTTCTCTGTTATTATTGTGTTGTTATTATCATCCCAGTTTTACAGATGAGGAAACTCATGAGGCAGACAGAAGTTAAATGACTTGCCTAGAGTCACACAGCTCGTATAAGACCATATTTGAACTTACATGTTTTTGACTCTTGCTTCATGAATCCATCCATGGCACCACCTAACTGACCTTTAGTGGTTTGTATATTGTCTCCCTCCACTAGACTGTGAGATCCTTGAAGGGAGGGACTATTTTTTTTCCATTTCTTTATATCTCTAGTGTTTAGCACAGTATCTGACATTGTTGTTGTTGTTTAGTCATTCAGTCGTGTCTGAGTCTTCATGACCCTGTGGACCACAGCAGGCCAATACTGTCTATGAAGCTTCCTTGGAAAAGATACTGGTGTAGTTTGCCATTTCCTTCTTCTGTGAATTAAGGCAAATAAGGCATATAGCTACTGAGTGTCTGAGGCCAAATTTGAATTCAGGTCTTCATGATTGAAGGCCTAGCATTCTACCCACTGAACCTCCTCTCTGACTTATTGACTTATTGACTTCCCACTATATTTTGCTGCCATCTTCTAGTCTGTTGCATGGTTCTACTAAAAGGACTGGAAGTTAAGTGTACCTTGGAGGAACAAGCAAATTTTTGTGCCAATTGATGTATCTGTTGCTTCTACAGTCCACAGTCTTGACCTTTTTTACATATTTTCCTAAAAGGAAAAGTTGGGAAAGGAATTTAGGCAAGAGAAAACATCTCTTAATATTTTCAGTTGAACTTTAAAAAATGGGTTTGTAATATCCTTCTGTAAATCCCAAGTATATCAATGACAATAATGAAGATTATATATCTACTAAAATATTCATTAAAATTTTTTGTGATATCTAGGTGGCACAGTGGATAAAGCACTGGACCTGGAGTGAGAAAACCTTCATTCAAATCTAGCACTACACATTTATTAGCTGTGTGAGCCAAATCAAGTCTCAATTTCTGTCTCCCCTCAGCTTCCTTATCTGCAAAAAATAAGGACCTCTTTTCCAGAGCTGTTGTGAAGATAAAATGAAATATTAATAAAGCACTTTACAAACCTTAAAGCACTATCTAAATGCTAACTATTATTAATAGAAGCAAAGTGGGTGCCCATTGATTGGGAGATGTCTGAATAAATTGAGTTATATAAATATAATGGAATATTAATATGCCATAAGGAATAATACAGATGAGGAATTAAAAGTTGAAATTGAAAAAAAAAAGTTGGAAAAACTTGTTACAGAATGAAGTAAGCAGAAGCAAGATAACAATATACACAATTATTATAATGATATAAATGAAAACAACACTTAAAGGCAACCAAATTCTGATTAATTTTAATGATTAATTTTGGTCCAAGAGAATAGATGATGAAATGCACCTTCCTCCTCTCTGTAGAGAGATGAGAGAACTACCGTGTGAAATATTAGGTGTGGTTACTATATAAATTGGTCTTGCTCAACCATTTTTCTTTGTTACAAACAAGTGTTCTTTGTCAGGGAAGGGAAATCATACTAGGAAACGACAAAAAACTATCAATAAAACTTTTAAAAAATAAAGTTTAAGAAGATTATGGAAAGGTTTTTTTTGTTTCTTTTTTTAAGAATGAAGGAAAAGATTTAAATCTTTCTTTAGGATGGATACTATAAGCCATCCACATTTGCCACACTTACTTGACTTTCCATTCAGCAAAATATTTTAAGTATTGTGCTCTTGAAGAGATGTTTCGTATGAACCCAAGTCAGTAATAATACTGATTGTATTGTGAATATGTTTATTATTTAATGGCAAGGAAAGAACTAGGAGAAATAGTAATAGTACCAGCAATAATTATATTTGGGAAAATTATAATTTAAGTAAACTTTCAATTAAGCTGTTTTTAAAAACTTTAATTTTAAAGGACATTCTATTATCTATTTTTCTACTGTAGATTTACTAAAGGAAGACATACACAGGGAGTAATGGAGAGTAATGGAAGGCAAAGAGAGAAAAAAGAAGATCTAGAAAAGAAACCTAATTTGCTGAAAGAAGAACAAGGGACAACAAAAATAGAACATATGATTATTCCGTTAAGGGAAAGCAATGAACATCATAATGTAGGAAAAGAAAGGTTTGAAATTAGTGTATCAGTGCATGACATAGACAAACTGCATAATAAATATGTGATTCAAAATAGCAGAATTCCACTTAGGCAAAGAAAACGTTACTCTTTCACAGAAGCCACTGAAAACTTGCATAATGGAATTCCTACTTCAGGTACATCTAATTTAGGTACCACTCACAACAGTCAAGTTGCAAACAAGCAACAAGGTAATACAACTGACCTGAAGATAGAAAATTCAATTAGTAGATATGAGCCATCATTTGGTAAATCTTCCAAAACAAAGGTAAAAGATTCATCAAGTGAAAAGAATGAAAACTCTGTAAATACAACTTTGAGGGATAAGAAAAACAATTTGATGGAAGAACTCTTTGGATCAGGTTGTGTCTTAAAAAACAATCCCACAAATACTGATCTTAAATCATCTAATAAAGAAAAAGAGAGTTTGGAAAATGACAGGATGAATGATAATTATCAATCTACAGCCATTAATGCTTTTGGAGATTCTAAGGTAACTATGGTAAAGCCTATTAAATCATATTCATCCACAGAAGGAGAAAGTTAATTATTGCAATACAATTAACATATGAGTGTATTCCAGTTCAATGGTCTTTCATTCTTGCTTTCTAGAGACATATTTTAGTTTTGTGTTATAGAAATTATTTCAAGTGCTTATAATTTTAATATGTTAATGTTTAATTAGAATGAAGATAATTGTAATTGTGTTTCATTTACCAAGAAAATCCAGAGTACTTTAGACAGAAATACCCAAATTTAGGGAAATTCATTTCTCATATTATAGTTTACATGATAGCTCTGCTCATAACTCTGCCTGCTAGAAAAGCTGACATTATCTAGGTAACAACAAATATTCCATAAGCAACAATTTCGTTTGAGCACATTGTTACCAACAGTTATAAGAATTTTTCTAATTTTTTCCTAGTTATAGGATACTTAAATAGTGAGATTATTATTCCATGCATATGGTATAAATTTGAAGAATTTTAAATAAAAAATCAAAACCTTGATAAGAAATGGCTAGTTTTTTGTGATTAAATATTTGTCCTACAGTTTAGCTGCTTGGGAAGCCAACAAACAGAACAACTATGAAATTAAAATTTTTTCATGTCAAATGGGGAAAGTTTTCATCTCATCAGTAAAGCAATAGAAGGGAGATATTTAGGTTTTGAACACATGTCATCTATTTTAGAATGATTCATTTTTTGTCTTCAAAAATGGGGAAAAACGTATTTGGAATAAAAGTCTTATTTCATTTGTATTTTGTGGAATGGCTGAAGAAAAGGATGAAAGAAGCCAAGTCATAGTAAATTCCAAATTACATCTGTCAGTTTTGACATTAAAAGCTATACCCATCATCTTCTCCTTCTTTCCCACTAGTATGCCATCATAACTTATAGCAGCTTATGTCAGAACAACCGAAGGAAGAATTCCTGTGTAGCAGAAACAGATGAGGGCAGCTTGAAAAGGAGCAACAGAACCAGGAAATGATTCTGCAGCTAAAAGTTGCTTTTGTCAAAGAAAATGTACAGCAATTGCCAAGTGTTGGCCTTTCAGAAATTTCCCTTATCTGACTAAAATTGACATATTTTATGAATATGAAAACTCACAAGTGAGCTATATGGTATTTTTATTAGTGTACTCCTGGTTTTTAAAGTTTAGTTATCTTTATTATATTAATGTAATTATTACTTCCCTTGAAATTACTCAGTTCGTATTGCTTTACTAATTTTAGAATTTTTCTTTTTGTCTGTCAAAAATACCCTCTCCAGTAATTTCATTCTTTATATTTAAAATGTTTTCTTGTTGCCTTTGTATAGGTTTTGTTTGTGTACATAGATTAATAGACAACTCTTAGACACATTTTATCATTAATATAGAGGTTATTTTGGGACTCTTGTGAAATACAGAAAGGCTGAGGATTTTATAGGTTTATTGTCTATCCACTTTTTTTAACTGAAGTTATTTTCATCAATTAAGTTCATTAGGCTGAAAGGGTTTTATTTACTTTATAAAATTTTTATTTTTAATTGGAATCTTTGTTTTCACATCACTTTCACTTCCAAATATGTCCCTCTCCTTCCACTACCCAAGGAGCCATTTCTTAAACAAGGAGCAAAAATGAAAGAGGAAAAAACCAGTTCAGCAAAACCAACCATCAAACAAACTTAAGAGCCCACACAGGTCATTACAACCACAATTAACTCTAAGGAATAAAATAAAAAAACAAATTCAAAAAATACAGCCAATAGCAGTCATAAGCAAAAAGCTTTCTTTATTCCATTGGAGGAGGGAGACTAGATACATATGCCAGGGCCTCCACTATAAGGAGACCCCTTTTAGTGAGACCAAATCGTAATGCATATAGCAATGGTTATGCAGTGAGTTGTAGCCCTGACAATGAGGGGTAACAGCAACAATGAGACAAGTTGGATTCATAACTGGGCTTCATGATCAGAACATGGGTCCTACAGGTGCTGGTCCGAGCTCAAGGACCTCCTGGGGCTGGTGTGAAACAATTTGGGATTTTGCTGTGGCAGAGCACATCCAGAGGATGAAGTACAAAGAATTGTTTTGCCAAGCTCAGAGCACAGCTTGCTTGCTGGGCCTTAGCTCTGAAAAACAGGGTGTCTCCTAATAGTAAAAAGAAAGGAGAGAAAAAGAGAGGGGTGGTCTTGGCATGGGGATCCTGACACACTCAGGCTTTCTCTAATGATAGCCTTGCTAAATATGAAGTGACTTTATTAGGAAGGAAAATGTGCCTTTGGAGTTTGTCATGCTGTCAGGATATTGTGGTTAGAGAAGAGTTAATGTCTTCTAGTGAAGTCATTGCAAATGCTCAATACAGTGGAGAACTTTTATCTGCCCTAAGATTTCCTACTGCTCAGGCCATTATCAACTGTCCTGTCCACACTAATTGAAATGATCCTGTTTCAAGAGGCAACAACCATGCTGACTCTGCCACAAAGCTTGCTACCCTTGAGGTCCCACACATGTATTCCATCTCTCTGCTTCTGATAATGTTCACTTTATCTTACAATGACTCTGAAATTGCAAAATGGAAATAATGTTTTCATACCAACCAGGTATTGGGGACAGAGTGACTGCAGAAAGCAAACCACTCCTCTTCCAGAGTTTCTATTACCAAGTTATGTCTATCTGTTCATAATGGTGGGGGGAGGGAGCACATCTTGGCACACAAGGGATTGTGGACATGATTAGAAGGGTGTGGGTGGCCCCTGATATAATTGCTATTGCTGCATGTATTTGTGCCTCTCATCCTACTTCTCAAGCATTTTAATCAACATGCATTCCATGTCATCCTTTTTGGCAGATGCCCCCTTGTTTTTACTTTTTTTGAGCACTTGCAAATTTATTTTATCAATATACCTAAGTCTGGTCACTACAAAATTTGTGTTGTAATCATTGATTAGTTGACTTACTGGGTAGAAGCCTTCCTTACTTCAAAGGCTAATGATAGTTTCATAGCCAAAATTATTCTTAAAGAAAATGTCCTCTGGTTTGGCCCTGTGGCTCACGATGAAGATCTCACTTCACTAACATGGTCCTCTCCCAAATTTATTCTTGTCTCGGAGTGACTCCTAGGTTTTATACCCCTTTTCACTCCCAGGGCTTCGGTCAGGTTGAACATATGAACAAATAACTTATTTGACTGGTAAAACGTGTTCTGAAACACACCTTAAGTGGCCTGATGTGCTTGCCCCTCTATTCAGGGTCTTTGTGGCTATTGAGGAGTCCATTGACCCTTTTTATTCATGATTTGCTAATAAATCACATAACTTGGACTTTGTCTCCTCAGTTATTACGAACCACCCATGATGCTATCCTACTCTCAAAAATGGCTCTTCCAAACTTTTTCATACTTTCTCAAATCTTCCATGGCTGCCCATCCTCTTATCTTCTCAACTGACAATCTTGACTCATATATTAAAGAAAAAATTGAGGCCATTCACTATGACCTCCTTCTCTCCCCCTTCCTCATTTCCTGTCACTCAGATGCCTTCTGCCACTATCTCCTCCTTCACCCTTGTCTCACATGATGAAGTGGCCTTACTTTTTACCAAGGCTAACCCCTCTAACTGTTCAAGTTATCCCATTCCATCCCGTCTCCTCCAATATATTGACTACTTTGTCATCTCCACTTCATCACTTATTTTCAATCTCTCACTAACTACTGGCTCTTTCCTACTACCTAAAAACATGCCCATTTCTTCCCCATCTTCAAAAATTCCTCACTTGATCCTTCCATTCCCTTTATCATCCTATATCCCCAGTTCCCTTTGTAGGTAAACTCCTTTAAAAAGTTGTCTACAAAAGATGCCTTTACTTTCTTTCCTCTTACTTTCTTCTTAACCCCTTACAATCCAGCTTCTGACATAATCATTGCACCAAAACTGCTCTCTCAAAAGTTACCAATGACCTCTCAATTTCCCATCAAGGTAGGGAGAGGTAAAATGGAAAATATCTCATAAAAACAAGGCATAAATAGAAGAACTGTTACAGTGGAAGTAGGTGAGGATGGAGGGCTGGTAATGCTGGAACCTTATGCTCATCAGAACTGGGTCAAAGAAGGAATAACATATACATCTGGAAGGGTATGAAAGCCTTCTAAATTTATAGAGAAATAGGAGGATGAGGGGATAGGATAAGGGAGGGCCTTTTAGAACATTACTAGATCAAGAAGTAGGATGGTGGGGGGAGGATAAGGGAGAGATTCTTAGAGGAATAGGAAGGTAAGGGGAGAAGATAAGGGAGGGGTTCTTTAAAATGGTGCAGATTAAGGAGATAGTGGTTAGGAGTAAATCAAATGTATGAGAAGAGATCGGGTAAGAAGAGGTGAGAAGAATAAAAAGTTAGAAAAAATAGGACAGAGGGAAATGCACAACTAATAATTACAACTTTGAAGGTGAAT